TTTTTTTTATTATTTTTAGAAGCTGCAGATGTCAGCAACCTAGACTTTTCAATTTAATCTCTCTTCAGTTCTCTACAGTGTTCCCAGCGCTTTGGCCATTGTTCAGAAGTTTTTAAAATCCTGATCAGGAATGTCAGTTTTTTTTTTTGCAGATGATTTAATGTCGTCAGTGTTGAGAAATGCTTTGCTTTCAGCACACTCTTGAGTTCTAGAAGCAGCCAGAAGTCAGCTCGCACTAAGTCAGGAGAGTCTGACGGATGGTCCAGAGCAGAGATGCCTTTTCCTGCTAAAAACAGCGGCACTCGAAGTGAAGGATGTGGTGGCGCATTATTGTGGTGAAGAATTGCTGGGTGATCTCTCCACAACTCTCCTCACTTATGCCTCACGACATGAATAAGCCTTTTCAACACCACGTAGAATGTCTCATTAACAGTGGTATCTTTGGGCACGAATTCAAAATGGATGATATCCCTGATGTCGAAAATGCAGATCAACATTGTTTTGATCTTGGACTTTGATGGCCATGGCTTCTTTGGCCTGGGGGAATTCTTTGATCTCCATTCCATGGACTGGAGTTTGGCCTTGGGATTACATTGATAACACCATGTTTCAACACCATTAATGACACAATCCAAAAAATTATCTTCTTGAAGTTGTTCCGAAAGGACTATGCAAAAAGTGAGATGCCTATCCTTTTGTTCTGTCTCTGCTCATATCAAGCTCATCAGCTATCAACCTGCAAGATAAGCAGTGGTCAGATCACCCAAGTTCCATGGAGGTACCTCGTTTTCCATCATCGTTCACACATTCTCTGCCTTCTCTGAAACATTTCTGCCACTTAAAACATTACTTTTGCTCATAGTAGATTCATGGTAAACTGTTTTTAACGTCCCCAATGTTTCACTTCACCATTTCTGCAGTTCAATACCAAATTTCATATTTACTGTCCCATCGTGCGCTCCATTTTCATGTCTAGACAAAGTTGACACACAGGGATCTAACGAGCTACTATTCAATGAATACTGAACGCGGCTTATCATAACTTTCCGTGTGAACTCTGCCTTGTTGTGTCACCTCACATTCCAAGTAACAGTGTTGCCAGATACCCTGGCACGAAATTAAAAACGAATCTCTGAAATCATTTGCCCAGCCTTGTATACCATCATCACAACCCATCAGAACCCTGACAGATGAATGATATATCGAAAGGTTATTATAGGTTTCTGTGTGTGTTTCTGCAGTAGAAGAGAATGTGAATATAGTAGCCTAGCATAACATTTTGTTAGAAGATAAAAGGATAATTTTGCCTGTCCTATATTAAGCACCACACCATTAAAATGTATGAGGTAGTGGAGATATAGATCCGCACATTAACCTCAATGCTAGATGAAGATGAGTGGTCAGCTTCATGGTCCAGTCACTTCACCCCTGGGGAGAGAATCCCCAATGCCCATTTGATAGGAGGCTGTGTGAACCCCAGAGGCACTCCGGACACTGTGCAGAAGAGCAAAATCTCTGTCTCTCCCAGGAATCAAACCCCCTGAATCCTTGACCATCCAGCCTGTATCTTATTGCTGTACTGACGGAGTTATCACACTCTCTCTTTGTTATGATGTAGTGATTAAAAGCAGTGCATGATACACATGAGGTGAATATGGCCAGAGCTTCAGAAGCGGCAGATCTAGAGAAGTTATGACTTACACGTGAAATTTGAAGATCCAAGGTTCTTTCTGGCTTCCATCTCATGGATGTATGCGTCAACAAGGTCACTGGTTACATTTGGATCGTATCTCTTCAAATGTTCGTTGATTGTTCCCTGTTGGAAGATTGGATCATTGAAACCATGCTCAGCAAACTGAGATAGCAACGTGTCCTATTATTCTGCAGTAGAACTGCTTAAAGCAATTTAATAGAGGACATTGTCATTGTTCATTTTTGCATTAAATTAAGCGTGGGAAGAAACATCATCTAGTGCACCCATGGATTAATTAATTAATGTTTCGTGTCAATTTTAATCAGTTCATGTAAATTAGTTAATTATTTATGGCACCCAGTGGCAGAATTCATTTCTTGGGGGCGATGTAAGGGATAATTAGCAGCGCTAATTTCGCAGCTTGTGGCTTTATCAGTTGCAGGACACACCATAACTCACTCTGTAGATACAAGAACAAATGCTAGGTGACCAGTTACATGATGGTTTGCAAGGCAATGAGTCATGTGATGTTACCTCGCATGAGGTAGCTATCCCTCACTCCTACATTAGTTGCCTAAACAAACGAAGGTTGCTTTCCGAATAGCCCTCGTATTATCCTGTAGATTGCAATCTCTTTTTTTTTCAATTTTTATTTTATAAGAAATATGGCTGCTTGAACATCCAGCCGACATGCATTTACTGATCCTATGTTCAAAATGCAATCTAATAATTTTCTGAAGAATGCCGTGTTCTGGAATGTGGCGCCGTGTAGATCTTGTGTGAACCGACGTTTCGAAGGAGCATATCGCCTCCATCTTCAGGGTAGAAAAATCAGCGAGCGAGGAACAAGCTTCAGGCAGGTCCCTGCAGACTGCACCCACCTGCTCATGCTTGTTTCTCGCGTGCGAATTTTTCTGTCATGAAGATGGAGGCGATATGCACCTCCGAAACGTCGGTTCACACAAGATTTACACGGGGCCACATCCCAGAAGACGGCATTCTTCATAGTCACGCCGTGAAACCCCCAAATGTTACTAATTTTCTAATGGTGACGTAGCGATTAACGTCACTGTGTGATGATGACGTACCATGATCATCTCCTTGAGCTGAGCGTTGATGCGCGTAATTATGTTGTAGCCGCTCCATTCCGGCGCGAAGAAGCGTAACCATGGGAACTGGTTGAGTGCGCCTCCAGACATGTCGAAAGCCTTCGCTCTGCGGCTCATGAGTTGCATGAGATGCTGCAGTTGGGGGTCATCCCAGGACGAGAAACGCGACCCTGTGACCAGCACCCACAGAACGTTCAGGACGCAGGGTGTGACGTACCGCCCGACGCTGATCTCGCGTCGGCCGCCACTGCCTTCCCTACGCAACGTCGTCAGCAAGTCCAGCACCTCCTTCGTGATCATGTTCTCCATCAACTGCTTCCCGTAGCCCAGCTGCTTGAGGTGCCTCACCGCGAAGCTACGCTGCTCGTGCCATATCTCTCCTTCCGTGAAAGTGATCCCTGGAACATGTTTTCACATGTGAGGTCATCACGGCGGTCATTATAAAGATTTCCATCTTGGGACTGCTAGATCATTTCAGGCGTTTCGGATGGATGTTCTGCTTCCATCTTCAGGGCACAAGAGAAGAACAGAGTAACTCGGATCTGCAGACGTTTTTCTGGACACGATGTCGGCTGAGCTTCTGGCAATGGTATTAATTAAAGTAAGTAAATTAAAGAAGATTATTGTCTTTTTTTTTTATTTGACGCCGTGTAGTCTGGTATATGAGCACCAACGTTTCTGAAGAACCTCCTGTCCCTGTATTTAAATCGACATTCCTCCACCTTCGTCATTGTTCCACCTTAAAAATGGAGGTGGCCGGTTCCTCCGAAACGTCGGCACTCACTGTACAGAGATGTCACATAATAAAGTAAGTTGAAGGAACGAGATGTGGGCTTGTAGGAGCGCAAGCATCTCTGGACAGTTCCAGAGAGAGAGACACATGTACACTGGAGCAGGTTTTCCCCCCGAGTACCTCACTTTCCCCTGCCAATTCGCATCCCACCTAACGTTGCACTTCTTTCATCTCTCAAGCGGGGCTGGTACAGTGCCTGGTTGAAGTACCGAGGGGCCCACTGAGAAAGGAATACACCGTTTTAGCGCTTCAGTGCGGAATGTATCCCGTCAACAAATCTGAATATTTTGGATTTAAATAAGAGCGTGAGGCAATGCAATCTTCTCGGATCGATTCCCTGATTGGTGGAGATGGAAACGATTTGCGAAACGTTAGAAATCCATTCCATCGTGACGCAGCTCACTGCCACTGCATGTATTCACGGTGAAAGATTGAACCTTGTACAAAATAAAGTTGTCCCATCACGCCATAAACACATGGGAAATGGAGGTTTAACTCCATGCATTCTTAACGTCGCCATTAAATATTAGTGATAAATCACCTTTACGCCCCCCCCGGGGAACGGGCTCCCTGTATCCTTTACTTAAAGAGTCCTGATTGGTTCAAACATGGTCGGAAATCAAACCAAGGTTCCTGAGTCGCCCAGCCCATGGGGAAAAGCCCCAGGTATGCACTAGACAGAAGTCTGTTTCGGCGCTATAGAAAAGAGAAGGGTCATTTCAGTTGCCGGGAATCGAATTCCGATTTCGCAGTCGCCCAACCAGTGACAGGTATGACGGCTCATGCAATGCCTTAACTTTCTGCAGCAGATCTCACCCCTACGAGCGCCCATGGACCGGAGCTTGATGAAGAAATTGTAGGGGCGACCCTCGAACTCCTCCCTCGTGTGGACTTGTTGCACGGCGTCGTGTGTAAGCACCACAATGGTGGGTTCGCTCCCCAGCTTCAGGCCGATCACAGGGGATTTGTACTCTTCGGACATGTGGGCAGCTGCCAGGTGCAAGTAGCGCAGCTCCCTACACAGCTTCTTCAGGTAAGGCGCACTGCCCACTATGGGCAGCCATGCTGGCCCTGCAACAGTGACTTCCTGCTGTAGTATTTTGGGGGGCATCCTGTTGCATTGAGGCATCATCATCAGTGCAGTGGTCACCCCGAAAACAAAAGAAAAATTGCCTGATGATGGCCCATGTGCGGCCGAAACATGTTGTAAAGCAAGGAAAAATATGAAAAACTAGAGACATTTTAGTAATCTGATAATTACATTTAGTGTATAAGTTATGCTCTTAGTGTCTTAATGACATTTTATGATTTAACCTCATAAAGTTTTAAGATACACTTTTAGTGAGAAACATATTCTTAGACGTCTTTTATATTTTAAACTATTGTTGCATTATTGAGGGGTGTTTTAATGATAAGGATGAATAGTCGGTTGATGGATGATTGATGAATTGGAAATGTTTCAGACATCCCCCCCCCACGAGTAAAAAGAAAGTCTAGAAGAGAAACATGCAAAACATTAAATTAACAGAATTAAATAAACAGAAATTAAAATCGTTTAAAAATTAGAACATGTACTGTAGTAGTGGCTTCCAACTGTATTGATGTAAAGGTGCCCCTCTGAAGATGGTCTCNTACACATTCGGTAGGACTCCTTGGGCGGGTGATCAGCTCGTCGCAAGGCCTCTACCTGTACACAAACACAGAAAAACGCACACACGCAAACTAAACATCCATACCCTGAGTGGGATTCGAACCAACGATCCCGGTTTCCAAGCGAGCGAAGACAATATATGCTTCATAATTGTTTAAAAATGTTTATTCTTCATTAACAAGTCTACCAGTAAAGTTTGTAAGTAATCTCCATGAAAAAAAAATCCACGGGGGCGTCCATGGATGAAAGTGATAAAGTTGGAATTGACGCCCGTGACATTGCAGTAAAATATTGCAAGCTTTCATCGGAGACTGATTGCGTGCGATACAGTTCCGAAGGCCTACAAAATCCTGTCGTATATGGAAGCGACACGTCTGTGAGCTGAAGCACTTTGGTAGTTAATCTGTGCCATGTGCAAGGCGGTTGGAGATGGTGTCTTGATGTGAAGTGTGTTCGGTGATCACTTTTGCAAGCTAATATAAGCCTGTGGAGATATCTTGGGTTCCTTGTGGGATTGTCAGCACGACTTTGTAAGTGTCTCATTCTCTTGTTTCGTTTTTGGGTCTTGTGTTTACGTTTGTGTTAACCAACTGTGGAATTGCATTGGGATTCCGAAAGTGTTCCCAAGACCATGCTTGGAAGAATGTAGGCTATTCTGTATCACTTGTATATGATTTATCGAAGTATAATTATGCCGAGAAGATGAATAATGTTATACTTGCATAAGCACCGCTGTTGGGTTCGTATCCAAGTCAGTTCGCTCCCTCATTCTGTCTTCCATAAAAAAAAAACAGAGCATGACGCAAATGATAACTTAACCTTCGTGTTTTACAATGACGGCAGCGAAACGCGTTTACACTAAATTATGGCGTAATATATTTTAAGTTTTATTTGTTTTAAGATAACATAGTTAAGTGCTCGAATAGTTACAAATAATGTAATACATTTTTATGTGAGTGGACTTCCAAAGAAACTTAGGCGGTCTGATTGGGAGTACAGTTTTTCATATAGGTCTGCCCCTAGCAATGCTCTAAAGGCGACAAAAACGAGGGACGTATTTTCTGAAAGTACATAGTGCAGATTTTCTGTACGTTGCCACTGTGCTTACCTAATTAAGCACTATGCCATGAAGACGTATGGGGGAGTGGATATGTGTATAGTTGGAGGTGAGGGGTCAGTTTCACGCCGCTTTACCACCGGGGAAAGATAGGTGGAGGCAGGGTCTGGATGACGTGGAGAGAAGAAAAATCTTGCCACTGCCGGGATTCGAATTCCGAACCCTCTGTCGTCCAGTCCCTATACCGTCTGAGCTATCCCGGGGCCGGGACAATTCTGACCTTAATAGTGGCGTTGTTATNGCTCAAGCGGTTAGTCGCTGGCTTCCCGGCCCGGGTTCGATCCCGGGTCTGGTCAAGTTGGATTTGTGGTGGACAAAGTGGCGCTGGGGCAGTTTTTCTCCGAGTACTTAGGTTTCCCCTGCCAATCTTCATTCCACCAATTGCTCCACAATCACCCTCACCTATCATCTGTGGCTGGTACAACAGGCCAGAAGTGGCTGCAGTACAAGAGACTTAGTCCCACCCCACTAGCAATAAAAAAAAGGATACGGTCAGATTTGTTCTCGAGCCCTGTTTTTGAGTTTTTCATGACAGTGTTTAGATTTTGGTCTTGTGGGTTGTGATACATTATGATCTTGTAATATGCTATTTTGGAGCTGTGCGCTATTATATAACCACCTTGATTACTCAACAGTCGCTTCCTTCTAGATCCATCCCAGTTCGGGCATTCGTGTTGTTTACATACGGAAAACTAGGGGATTTTTTTTTGTGCTGAGTCAGTTACAGCTGAGTGACCTTCATCCCAACAGATAGCACCACTGTATCAGTCCTTCATCAGCTGTAAACAGCGCTGTTATGTGCAGACAAGCCCGGCGAGCTTGGCCTATAAAAGCAATCTTCGTCAGACAAGATATAAGCTAATTTTTAGATGTTTTCCTCAAACTTGGCGAACTTAACCTATAAAAAGAAACTTCGTCAGAAAATAGACGAGCTGTTTTTAAATGTTTTCCTCAAACTTGGCGAACTTAACCTATAAAAAGAAACTTCGTCAGAAAATAGACGAGTTGTTTTTTAAATATTTTCTTCAAACTTGGCGAACTTGGCCTATAAAAACAAACTTCGTCAGAAAATATATAAGCTCTCTTTTTAATTTTTTTTTCTTCTCAAATTTACCACCTGCAAGAGTCGGCGATTTGGTGAGTTGTCCCTCATATAGACAATAAACAAAACACTATATATGTCTGACTGAAAGCTATTGTTTTTTATATTTTGATAATTTCCGTTCCATCCCATGTACTTTATGTAATCTCCCCTTGTAGCTACACGTTATTTTGAATGCTCTCAGATGCAACAATGGGTGGAAACTTCGCAATAAACAATTCCAGCCTCTAGTCACCACAGATAACGTATCCACTTATACACTACTATACACTAAATCACAGTTTAACTGAATATGAAAACTGTCATAATGGGAATTTGTTTTGGGCCAAGGCTGAGTTTGCACTTCCGGTTTAAGTACTGCAGCCTGGCGGTCCTCTCCGTAACTTTGTTGACGTCTGCGTGAGGGGTGAATAGCGAGTGTATGCTCTGAGGTTACTTAGCCCGCTTACCAAGACATTACAGTAAAAGACTTGTCTGATTCGAGGTCTGGCAGGCAGCAAACAGACCATGTCGAGTTCTGCCCATGGGTGCCGCTAGGATTTCTTTCCCAAGGGAGACAGCCACGAATTTCGCTTGCAAATTACACGTAGTTTTAACACTTTTAAGACTACTTGCTGATCGCGCTAGACTACTGAAGAGTACAGTAAACCCTCGTCGTAACGGACGGAATCTGGCCGTGCGCAGTTTTGAATTTTTAGAGATGTTGAGGCACTAACAAGGTTTTGTAGTTAGAAAATTATTTAACATAAAAATCAGCATAAAAAACTTTATATAATCACTTTATGTGTTTCTGTCTTTACTGCATGTACTGGCTATGTATCTTATGGTGTATTTCCGTGAATACCCCTTCACTCAGTTATGGCGGACACCAGCTGTAACGCCTCCACCCCCCTTACTACGGTATGACGAGGGCCTACTGTATTTTTAAAATAAATTTTGGTATATTTTCTTTTTTGTTTTGAATTGTTATTTTTTAATTTCTGTTTTGGGGGGCAGATGCCCCCCGTTCGTCCCACCAGGCACAGACTGTAATACTGCCATTCCATCTTCTCGGCAGTTTATCAAGAGCAGTGTTTCCTCTCCAAAAATTTGTAGTTTTTCTTGTTTTCCACACATATACATTTGATGACTAACCTGGTGGAAAATTGGCAGGTTTCCCGAATCTCCTGATGTAGGAAGCTACAGCGAGGACGAAAGTCACTGCCAGAAGTAGCAGTGTCCACATTGTGGCCGTCCTGAGAATGCCTTCCCTCCAGTCGTTGCCACGCGGCCAGTGCCGATGCCTTTTATTTTCGGCGATAGGCCTTGAGAGGGGAAGACCGAAGGTCGCTTGCGACTCTAGCAGTTGCACGCTTCTGAATCTGTCACTGGCGGGTCAGAGGGCAGCTACGCCGAGAGAAAATCTCCCATCAACCACAGATACGCTGAAATAAATGTTTTCCGTTCCCGGCTGTCCTTATGCGGACAAGAAAATGACGCAATCATAAATTTGCGACCCTTGTAAATCAACAAACTGCGTTGTTATTGGAATTGCTGCCGTCTGGGATGTGACGAAACATAGCATGGCACATCTTCACCTTTTTTTTTTTATTTTAGAAAAAAATACTGTAAATACAAAAAGGTCCAGGTAATGCCCATCCGGCCTTCTGTAGCACATTCTTATAAACATCTTATTCCATAATGGCGGCAACCCAGCGGTTCTTAATGTAGATCTTGAGTTAAACCTGAGAGTTACTGTTAATAATCAGTACAATTACTTCTGTCACTTTTCTTACTTATCTGTTTCATATAAATATAGGAATGTTGTTTATGAAGTAACAGACGCCTCGCAGAAATATTTTTTTGCCTAGCCTTAAGACTTAACTGACTTTTGGTATTCTTTCTTGCTGTCATAGACAAAATGTCCATCATTGTTGCCCGTGTTTACATGTTTACCAATGTTTCGAAAGAACCTACTGCCTCCATCTTCAGGGTAGATGAGAGAACCTTTCTACTCTTACGAGTATTATCCTCCACAACATGATGCTCTGTAGTCTGGTAGAAATATACCGACCGAAGGAACGTACTGCCTCTGTCTTCATAATATAATATTAAGCATAGCAAATAACCAGGTATCACAGCTGGTTATTTGTTTCGCGTATTTTTGTATCTTTAAGATGGCTGTAGGACGTTACTTTGAAATGTCCGTGAAGTTGTGTCGGACTGCACGGCGTCACCGCTGTGACAACATTAAGTCCGTCTTCTCTTTTGCACGGGGTAGAAGCGAAAGTTGTTCTGCCCCGAAGACAGAGTGGAGAAAAGTTACGTTGGTGAAGATCTGCCAAACCACACGGCGGCACGTCCCAGGAGATCGTAATATTCATACCGTCGTGAGTTCAGTGTCCACACAGATGACACGTGTAAACCCACAGTTCACATTGTGAGCTGCATTAGCTCAGTCGAAAATTCTGCTAGACTAGGAGCCAACAGACCGAGAAACCGGGGTTAGATTCCCAGCAGGGCCACATATACTCTTCTCCGAACTGCCTCTGGCTTACACCAAGGCTCTCATCCAGTTGGTAAAACGGGAAGGGCGTAAAGCTAACCACTCACTTTCATCTAGTGCCAAGATTAAGAATCCGCGGGGCTGTACTTCCACTCCGCCATACGCTTTCGTGGCATAATGCTTAATTAAGCACAGAGACAGCTTATCTTTTACCTTTAGAGTTGACAGACGTCAAGGTGCATGACAAAAGACAGTCACTCTCTCGCCAGAGAGGGCGCCTCCACATCACTGTGGCTCTGTTCATAAGTGTGCAATATTGTGACGTGACGGCTGAAAGTCGGAATAGTGAAAAAGACGCCAATTTCTAAGTAATTACTCTGTAAACATGTTTCCACGGCAACGAACTTAACGTGATCGCAGTCCAATCCGAGGTTATTGTGAGACGGTCGCCCTCTGCTGGAGGAGTCCCCATTGTTGGAAGTCGTTCCCAGGCAACGACCGGTGAAGACATAGAGAACTGAGAACACTTAGAGCGTGCCATAGAGAATTAGCAATAAGGCTATAATTGATTGTGGTTACGGTTTATAAGAGTCCAAACCCCTTGTCTACTCACTAAACACGTGACAATGTGTAGACGACAGGAAGGGAATTAATAAACCGCATTCAGAGATGCTACAGTGACACAAGTAAATAACATTATTCGCATCTTGTGACTAGCGAAAACCCAGGGGACGCTATTTATATTGGGCCCAGTACTGATGTCCCATGACAGCTGTACTGACTGTTGCAGAGTGCAGGCAGTTCCCACTGACCGAACTTTAGCTTTTAAATATGACATATCAGTTATGAACGGAAATATCGTAAGTAACTTGGCGTGAAGTAGGCAGGCTTCTGACTTCTAGAAGCAGGAAGGTCGCGGGTTCGAGTCCCGATGAGGTTTTTTTTTCCCCCCAGTTTACCTAATCTTTCCAGCCTCACTATGGCCCTGGGGTCGACTCAGCCTCTAACAGAAATGAGTAGCAGGAATCTTCCTGGGGATAAGGGGTGGCCGGCGCGTAAGGCTGACAACCTCACTGCCATCTGTGAGCCGATTTTCAAGAAAGTGTGGGAATCTCAGCGTCTCACAACCCTATGGGCCTTCACGGCCTATTACAGGGATAGCTTTACCTATTTTTTTTTACCTCTTTATAAGCAAGAACGTGGCTCTGACAGGAAGTGTACCAACGTCGAGCGGTGCTGCTAATACTATTGCAACTATTGCAGCGGAAACGCGTTCAGAAATTTGTTTGCTGTTGTGTCGCATAAATCAGATTGCAGACTAAGCACTCTACAATAGGTCAAAGATCTCGATAGAAAGTTAAGTACTATAATCTCTGGAAGATTTGCTGATTTGAAATAGATAATCGGCAAGTTGGGGGTCACTTACGAGGGGTAACTTTGTGCAACCTAACCTATAACAATGATTCTAAAGCTGTGTTTCGCGGAATAACATTCATATGAATGTCTGTTTATATTGTAGCATGTAGAATCGTTGGTAAATAATGACTACAAACAACGACCGCGGAATATGCGATCGTTACTGAGTAACGGCTTCGCAGATAAACATGTTCCCACGGCAAAAATTGAACTAAAACAGTTAGGAGCTGTGATTTCTGCGCGTTCCATGCCGAGGAACTGTAAACGGGACAAGTTTCCCCGCAGTATTGGAAATTTTTCAATGTGTACACCGGTCCGCGAGTTGCACACGGCTTTGAACCTTCCCTACGTATCTATTATATAACAGAATTGTGCAGACAAGAAGCAGAGGTCATACAAAATCACGAGAATGAGCATGTTCGTAGCCAAACACAGAAAATATAAGAGGCTTAAACTTGTCGGTAGTCAAGCTTACGGCCGTTCAAGTGACTAAGCTGCCGTTATAGCATGAGATACGCAATATAAGCATGATCTGCGGTGCAAGGCCTGTGCTGATAGAACTTTGAAGAATTTTCGGTAAGACGCTGTATTTGCGATACGTACACTTGACGAAAGGGCAAGCCTATTCGTGAGACAAACCCATCCTCTGGTCAGAGAGGAGCTTACATAAGGACTATGAGAGCAGAAGTTCAGCTGTGTAAAAGAAATTCCCTCTGGTCGTGAACCTCAAGGGTCTTGGCGGCAAAACTGCTCGTAGTAAGCAACTCTGAATTGAAGGTGTAAACACACTGTCGTATAGACAGCAGTGGGCATAGGCGTAGATGCTCATTCACTATAAAAACCGGACATGGTCTCATAGCATCCAGACCAGAGACGGAGAAACAGAGAATGGGACAAGAGGATAGTTTATATAGGCCTGCAGGATGTGAGTGTTTCATCTACTGGCGGTGTGTTCTCATTTTATGCTCAAGTAAAGTTTGTACGTTCAAACTGTAGGCAGTAATATCTTAATCATGTGCTGAGACTACTGTATGTGACGTCATGCATCTGGGGGGAGTACCGCTGTTCCGGGGAAACTTACTTCACGCATTCTGAAGGTAGATCTTTTACGCATTGAAGATGGAGTGAGCAGGTTCCTGCGAAACACACCAATATACTAGACTACATGACGTCACTTCCCATCTCTTAGGTCTGATTAATTTTATGTGGTGCAGAGACCTCATTTCTGTAGACTGGGCCTTGGTTCTGACCCCACCTGCACACAGCTTTACACCTTTCAGATTTGTCAATACAGCGTGGGGGTTCGTAAGATGTTAATGCGTGTACGTTTTGTTGGGAAACCCAAAAGGAAAAGATCACTAGGACGTAGATATACGCGATGGATAATATTAAAATGCACCTTAAAGAAATAGGATGGGGCGATATGAGCTGGATTCATTTGATTCAGGAAAGGGACTAGTGCAGGGCTCTTGTGAACACGGTAATGAACTTTCGGGTTCCATAAAATGCTGGGAAATTCTTGAGTAGCTGAGCGACTGGCGGCTTCTCAAGGACTCGGCTGCATGGGAAGATATTTCGGCCAGTAGCCAGTTTTGGCCACGCTGTTCATGAAACAGTTTGAAGCCTTATCATTTCTCCACCTTCTGATTTGCTCTCAAAAACTTTCTTGGCAACCCGTGTTTTGTCCGTTCTAATCAATCCAACCTCCTCTTATTTAATATCCACTACTAGATCAGGGGTTTATGTAATTCCCCCGTTCTCGGTTGGTTTAGATCCTCCAAACCTCTTGCTCAATGCCTTTATCAGAACGTTCCTCCCCGACGCATTTAGCATAACTTCGGCCTTTTCAATCATCTGCCACATTTCGCGTGTTTATAGCGTTTGTTTGTTAAAAGACTGATTACGTAACGATGATATGTATGGACAACCAGTTTTTGAGGAAGATTGACACCCACTTGGCTGGTATTCCGGCGCAAATAACGTTTAGCTAACTCCATGCAGCGTGAGAAGCCAGTAGTCGCTCATCCATCCTTCTATGGAACACGGAAGTTCATTCTCCTATTCACAAGACCCCGCCACTGGCCCCTGTCGTGAGCCAGTTGAATCCCCTAAACACCTTGCGTTCATATTCAACATTATCCTCGCATTAGTGCCTGCAGCTTTCAAGTTGCCCCATTCTACAGAAATTTGTACCAGTTTTGTTCCATGCATGCTGCTTGCCCAGGCAATCTCACATTTGATTGATCACCCTAATAATATCTAGCAAGGAGTACAAATTATGAAGCTCTTTATTATGCAGTTTCTCCTTCTGTTGAATCATCCAGCTTAGGTCCAAATGTTATCCTCGGCACTCTTCTCACAGATCCGTCAATGTG